TACAAAGCAAAATATTTTTCGTTCGAGTAGTTAATTATTATGAACTTTTAATAATAGTATACCTACATAAATATAACAAACGAATTTAAGTATAACTATATAAGTCTACAATTTTAAAATAACATTTATTCTTACTGCAGATGTACAATTTTTTTTTAGACCTAAAAATAAACATTATAATTAAATACAATTTTGTTCATTTGTAATGTTTTTTTCTATGTAATATATATTTAAGGTTATATAAACTTTGAAGAGCAGACGAACAGTAAATAAACATTAGGTATGTAGTAAAACAATATTATTTATTTAAAAATAAAGTGTATTTTATACCTATATTGTTGCACAAAAATATTTAATTTGTATTCTATTATATATGCTATATTGCTATATACAATATGCATTAAAAAATGTTTCACTGGCAGCTGCCGATTTTACCTGTACGTTATACAGAACTGCTACTAAATAGAGGAAGTAAGCAAATTTTATAATTTAAATAAAATTGTTTCGTAAAAGTATTTCCAATGGGTTTGGTACGTTTAGCGCTACTCGTTGGACCTTAACATTTCCTATATAGGAGGTCCAAATATAAACATACTACATTACTACAAAATATAAACAATAGTACAATACTATACATATATTGTCTATATACTATATTACTATACATATAGCCATATAGGATAGTACACCCACGTATATCCATCTACTTCGGTTTCCAAGGCTGGTAAAGTTATCTTAAAACTAGTTTGAATTAAATTAATTAGAAAGAAGAATAAGATTCGTTAAAAATTATTATCAAGTTCTTTATAGGCGAACTGAAGAGTGTATTGTTAAACAACAATGAGATTGTTTAAAAAAATATATATTTCTGGTACCTACAAGAGACCGAAAGATTTGCTTAAAAAGTTTTAAATTACTTAGGTAATGTATTTATGTATCAATTAGAACTATATAATGTTATCTGGTTGGTATTTCAAACACAATATCTTTTGATTAATTTCCCGTAAGGGTAAGAAAATACTATTGAACACAGACAATACACATAAAGGATAAATAAATAATTACGAAGTCATTTTAAATTTGAGTTTTTAACGAATTCGATTTTAGTTATTTATTCGGAATTCTAAAAATACATATGGTATCAATGATATTCTATAGTATAGGTATACTTTTTAAAAGTAACTTTTATTAATACTATAGTTATATTAGGATAAAGTTGTAGAGTCTATACTTATTTTTTATTATATAAAGAGGAGTTATTAATTGACGTTGTTAAAGGTAATCTCTTGAACTACTTAACTAATTTCGAAAATTCATTGATCAATTGAAAGCCACATTCATTGTGAGTGTCTTACATTTAGTTCGATAAAGTTATAATAATTATTAAAATAAACGTGTAAATTGTATACTGCATGTATACGCGAGGTGGCCAGCGGGTCTCAAGCTACCTGCAACCTGTTTTTGGTTATAATAAATAATATAATATAATAAGTTGCCCTTAATTTTTTTATACCAAATTTAAGACTTTTTATAGAAATAATAGTATTATTAAATATATTTTTKTGTATAATATGGTTGCTATTGGTTATACAATTTAGTATGGAACAATAAGAAATTAGCAATTTGTTACTAGGTACTAATTAAAAAAATTGTTTCATCTTTACAAAGCTAAAAATGCGATAATAATATAATATATTATGATTGAATAATATACTGTCCTGTATTTTAAACGACTGTGATGTTAAAAATCTTTTTTGGAGATTAAAATAGGGTAAATCCACGGGAATTTGTCAAGGGACTAGCCGGTTGCAAAAGATGAATTAACCAACAATTTTGAATTATATAKAGTGGTTATTTCGGGTAACGAAGTGTACGGGGATCAGCTAGTTTATTATATCTAAATATTTTTATTGTTTGCAATTTGAATTGAGAGTGGCGTTATCTATGATCTTTTATTGTAATAAAACTCTAAAACTATAATTCTACTATAAAGGTAGAATATTCCTAAGGAATTTTCTAGGTTCGGGTCCAAAGGATAATTTCCTAAGATATAGTTATGACTTATGAATACTGGATAAATACATAGATTCCTCTGCTAGATATAGACAAAATATACAGCGTAGTTCATATTTTCACATGTCCGGCGGTAGATGGCGCGCACGATTGGCAAAGACGTAGACCAGAACGAGGAATGAAGGAAATGAAAATGTTTTAAAAAATACCTCCGTATCGCGCGAACGTGTCCACGCATCATCATCTGGCCGCCGTCGCCGCCGCTCGTTCGTTCAGTTTCGGTACTGCTCGGCGTCACCTCAGTCGGACCGGTACGGCCGTCATCGTGATCGTGTTGCAAGTGTCAAATTCATATTATTGTTATAATTATTATTAATAATTTTAACTCCCGACGGTTTTTTTCGCACCGATCGTGTTGGTTGCCGGTTTTCTCCATTTTTTTTTACAGTGAAAATAATAGGAATGTGTTAAAAGTTACAGCAGGTAATGTTAATAACAATGCCATAAAATAACATGATATGCCGCGACACCGTGAGGAGGTACCCCACACCTGTGCCATGTCAATAATATTGATAACGGATTGATAAAGAAGAGAGTCTATCGGAACGTCAAAATATTTTTATGACCGTTTTATTGCCGTGCGGAGTGTCGCGTTGTTGCCGAGTAAAATAAAAATCACCGATTGACCGTCCTGGATCCCTGAACCTGTACAGTCGACCCGTCTGCACATCAGCTACCACGGTCATCGCCCAACGACGCTTTGCGCACCAGGTAATAATGATAATATTCAGCTATGTAATTATCTGCCGCCCAGAAACCAGCTAGATATCTATTTCGTTATAATTTATTGTATACAACACGATATTAATGTAATTTAGTAACGTGAGCCGAAACACGATTTCAAAGCGCCTTGTGCGAACAGTCTGCTATTAATATTGGATGTAGGTTGTTTTTTTATTTTATTTTGCGACCTGACAAAGAGATAACGAATTATTATCGAAAATACTTGGCTACTGATTTATGACAGGAAAACTTATAAATCGTTATAAGAGTGAAATAGGCTCAAAACTACTGAACAGTAKTATCTAATTGTTATGAAAGAATATTAATTATTGCTTGTATCTAATTAACAAAAAGTATCCCATCAATAAATACCAGAGATTTTATTTTTTTAATCTATGAATACATTTCACATCAATATGTTGCGAATTCAGATTAGGTAAATCACAGATCTTATTGAAAAAGCATTTATAGAAACACAATAGGTAAAGTACTGCTTAAACAAATTAAACATTTAAAAATTAAATGTTAGTAGGTAGGTACTAGGTAACACAGTGGCGTGGCAAACTTTATTAAGTTATGAGGCACAGTTATATTGTTAGACCCACCACCCACCTCACCCATCACAAAAAACATTAAAAAATTTTTTTAAGATAAAATATATATTTATTCATTTAAATAATAATGCTTTTTTTAACACATCAGATGAACTTTGAGGACACCCACCACCCCTCAAATTGAGGCACGTGTCTCAAGAAAGTCCTTCGACACTCCACTGAGGTAACATATAAAAATAAGATCAATAGTATTAACAATATGTTTTAGTCCTTGTCATTTTTATCTGTACATAATCTTATTGAGGTATGAACTGAAAAATTTTATCCAAAACATTTTTCTATTTGGCATGTTAAAGATAACTGCAGAAAATCTATTTAGAACCTTGAAATACAATATTATGTATTGCCCTTTTCAAGTATATTTGTGGCTTGGCGTGGTGCGTTGGCTGCTACCAATCGCAGAATGCGACTGGGATTAAGTAACGGCCACAACTACTAGATCCCGAATGGGTGACCACCCAGGTTCATAGTAGTTAAAAACCTTGCCATACATACATGTGTTTATTACCTACCGTAACAACTGTAAAAACAACTTACCGTACCAAAACCTTACCCCTATCACAGTTCATAACCTTTGTTCTTTACAACAGCTGGCCTAAGTTGCCAGGCTTAAGATCAATAAAAAAAATAAATATGTTTTAGTAGGTGCAACTGTTAGAAATTAGATTTCTAGTTTGATTATGAATCCCTAATTTTTTTTTATCTGAAAACATATGCACTATTTTATTTACATTGTTACTTCATTTTGTAAATGAAAATACTTCTTGACTTGTAAAAGAAAACTGTGTTCAGCAATAAAATTAAAAGATCATAAGTATTTATTTGTGTATTCTATAATGTTATTCATTACCTATATGATTAGAGGTATATGTAAGTTTTAATTACATTAATATTAATATTATGCATGTGCTTTTGTGACGAATTTATTTTGGAAAATAACCTTTACCATTTTACTTCCTAGAATATGATATAATTTGACAATTTAACTTGTTGTAATATTGTGCATTATTAATTAATAATAATATTAAGTATCCGGCCTTAACTTAGTTAAATTTAGATTGGAATGAAGTAGATAAATAATTCTTTTTTTTTTGTGAGGAATATATTTATGATTTACGTACCTACCTAAAAATCAAATTTAACTTTAATTACATCACAATGTATGTACAGGTGTACTGTAAACAAATAATTGAAGTTTAACTAAATAGGATTGTGTAAAGAAAATGATGTGCTTTGTTTGTATGTAGGTAGATAATATAATATTGATCATTGATGATCATTTAATATTTGTTTTTAATATTTAATCTTGTAATTTTTTCAGTACCTCTTTTGTATAGTATTGTACCTACATAGTGTGGGATACACACTTTACACACTATTTTGGAATTTTATTGGAGAAAACAGGCTGTTTTCCTATTCATTGCATTTATTTATTTATGATTATTACTATGGTAAACCTTGATTAATGTAAATAATAATATATGTAATTTGTGTAAATAAAATAAATAAATATTAATAGTGAACTCGATGGTTAATAAATAAATAAATTATTTTATTTTATTAAACAAAATTTGTAGGTAATCATTTATTAACATTTTAAAGGTAAATATAATTTATGTTAAATTTAAATACTAGAAATTATACATAATTTATTACCTATTATTTATCTAGAAAATATTATATTGTTTAAAACAAACATTATATACCTAACTAAAATTATTATATTTATGATTTATGAATCTATTAAGATTAATTTCCCGTATAATCATGATAATTAATACATTGCTTGAATATTAAATAAAATAATGAAAGATTAAACCAATTTTTAGTTATTCAATTTTAAAAACTTTTACCTAGGTAKTAAGTTACAAATAAATTAAATTAGGTAAGTACATACTTAACAGTTTAATTTCATATTAATTAGTTAAAAATCAACCTACCTATAAAACATTGTAAGCTAACCTAACCTAGTAAATGTATTATGTTTGTTTTATTTTACATATATTTAAAATTTAAGTCATCATTATTAGTTATGTGTATGCTTTTGAATACAATCAATAAGGTCAAACACTGGATTGTTAAAAAGAAGACCTACAAAATTTTTGCCATTTGAAAAGGTATCCAATAATAACAGTTAACTTGTGTAAGACCATACTTAAAGTTCCTTGACTGATAAAAAAAAAATGTATACATTGCCATATCACATTAACCCTAATTATTTGTACTAGCCATTACTGATGGCTTATTGTCTCACTCTAAATATTATAGGCAGTCAGTCATTGAAACAAAATGGAAAATTGTTATCAGTAGGTAATAAGTATATTGGTACCAATATAGCTATTAACACTCATGCAATATCATCAATAAATTTGATCTGTATTAGCACATTTTTTTCATACATTGATATAAGAAGAGGCCTCTTCATACACACTAGACTGGGTGTGGCCTAGAGGGTCAAGGACCAAATATGCTGCAAGCTAATCAACATTCCACCAAGGATCATATATGATAATATTCTTCCTAAAATACTATTGATGCCATCCAGTACCTATTAAATTAAACATTTACTGCATTAATCAATAGTATTAATTATTTATTACATTTATTTAGGAAAACACTATTTATTTGTTTTTAGTTAATATTCATGACCACTATTAAGTAATCACCCAAAATAATTATTTAAATTTTAGATTACAGAGGTTGTATGTAATTACATAAATTGTTTTTAATTATTAACCTACTAGATTTAAATTCAATAAAAATAAAAGTTCAAATTTTCAACTCTAAAAAACTGATATTTTATGATTAAGGTTAGTTATAATAGTAGGTATATATAATGTATTTGTATAAATACATAACGTCATGACTTATGTATGAATTATGGGCTGATATGTATAGAATTATTTTATAAATACATAACGTCATGACTTATGTATGAATTATGGGCTGATATGTATAGAATTATTTTATAAATTTTCGGTGATCCCTAGACCCAAAAATATAATTATTTTTTTTAAATCAATAGTTTTCGTAATTAAACTTACAAATTGCAGAGTTTTTATATTTATAACTGTTCATTATTATATTACAACATGGTTTGTTTCTGAAAACGTATTTCAATTAGGGTTACTATAATTTGTAGGGTATCACTAATCATCACTTTTACTCCCGTCTATTACGAATTACGATTTCAACCCCCCTACTTTTGTTATCGTGAAAACCGAAAAGTACGCGTTGTTACATAACATAATACATTAGATTAAATTTATTAATAATTTATGTAATATCGGGTATAGCTATATAGGATCGTATTATTTTTTACGTTTTTGATTCTTACAGTTTACGACAATATTATGCTAGTTCTACTTATCTAATTTCATTATTGCCATGATATATTTTACCATCTTTAGATTTCCATAAACAAATGGTTTATCTTTCGTAGAAATGTAATCTTTATTTGTAAAATCAGAAAAAATACTTCTAAATACGTTGATAGACGATAGTCTTCACATGAATTATAATACATTACTTATTATAATTAATAAGTAATGTCATTTTTTTTAATTCTCATAATTTACTTATTACATTGAACATTGAACTATGTTTTAGTAACAGKTTTTAGTCAACATTTACCTAATTATGAATTTATGATGTTAATTTAGGTTGTTTTTTTAAATTTTAAAGTAGTTATTATGAATCCTACTATTAAAGGTGAGCATTAATTATAAATCTAAAAATCTATGTTTACACTGATGGTATAATTTATTCTATCGTACTACGTTTACATTTCTGTTATTATTTATATTTTACGTATTATGAATTATGATAAAGGTATATTATATTTATATACTACCGGTATCCTTTTTACCTTTTCGTATTATATTTTTCAACGGTATGTTTGTTTTCACACGGTGCATTCCATTCCGTTGAGTTTCCTAAATGTCTATCCGATGAGTTAACGATGTAGCTAATCTATATGAATTCGCGGAGGGGAGGGAGATATTGAGTTTTTGTTATGTTACGAAATTAAATTGTTTATTCTTCATAACTTGATTATATTCCTATAATGTATAAATGTATAATATAAGGGTAATCGGAAAAAATCCCCAGGCTACTACGATATTACTCACAACCTCATTCACAAATATTTTTTAAACATTAATTGGTATCTATAATTACCACATTATTAATATTTAATTACAAATACGTATATTATATTATATTATACCATATTATTATATTATATCATTCAATAAATTAATAAAGTTGTTAGAAAAATAAAGTTTTTATTAAAAAAATATTTTTTTAAATATTTTTATCCTAATAATTTTAACTAAAAATATCTATAAAAAATACCGAGTACCTAGTATGTCCCATAGAGTATTTTAGATTTTTTTCAAACACTTATGAGAAACCTTGTTTTAAATTTGCAATACTTAGCTATAGAAATTGAAAATTTTTTGCATTTTTAGAAAATGTTTGTAATTTTTGGTATTAATTATTTTGGTTTTTCGTTATAATTACATTTAAAAATGTCAGCAGTTTTTTGTCTAATATATAAAGTCATAATCATAACGTTTGATTTATAAATAGCTATAAAATATTTAAAATATTTTGAAAATTTTATCATACATTCATACATAGAAAACATCATAATATAAACATTTGTTGAAAATTTCAAAAAATTACAAAAAATTATATTATTATATATTTTTACTGTGAATAGGTGCCTACGTTTAATGATTATTGTTTGATAATTATTATATAATTATTAATTTTATTATTATTATCTATATTTTGTATTATTGACGCATTAATTATTCGAAATATTTTTATATGCTATGTTTTTACTGTGAGTAGGTGGCTAACCTAACCATTTTCATGAGGTTTTGAGGAATATTGCGGTCTGGATATTTTTTTTCTTAGGGTTGCGGATTTTTTTTCCGCAATTCAATATAAGTACCTACTAATATTTTGTAGATACATATATTTTCTGAATTATTATAATAATCATGGAGTCTAATTTATTGTTATTTCTATTATGTTATGACTTACCTATAGTTAAAAAATAATTTATGAAAAACTTAAACGGCATCATTGTCTGTAAACTCCGTTTAAAAAATATTGAAAAGCGTTGGTCCTTGTGTCGTCATATTTTTTGTTATGTATTGACAATAAATTGAATCCTTTTTGGTATTTACATTAACCTATATTAAATATATAATATAATCATACATATATGTATGTATTAAACTATAATGTATATGTAATGTTATGTATTACATATTTACATAATATTTAATAACACAGTTTTCGCAAGAGTTATATGTTTGTGTACATAGAACATTCTATTAATATTTAACACTGACCTACGTAAATGAACCGGAATATAAATAATACCTCCCTCTTAGTGGGTATGGTAATATATTATGACTTACTGGGCAGTTCTCTGTATGCTAATTTACACTAGTAAATACACAAATAAAGTAATTTTTAATAAACTTGTAATTTAAATAGCTGTTATCGCATTAATGTGTTATAAACTTATAACCATAGATATTAAAGAATTGATAGGCAATTTATGCTTATCATACGGAAACGAACATGAAATTATTTTTGAGTTATAGAAGTCTTAACACAAATATATATGTAATTATTATAAATAATTTATGATAAGACCTCTGCCAGAATGATATGTAATGATAAAAATCAGCTCTTCCCCATTCCGGCACACTTACCTCTATTTTATTAATATAGCCATGGCCTATCTATTCTCTAATGTCTTTGGTTGTAGCTACCCTAGTAGTATTAAGTATGCAACATCAGAATAAGTCACAACCTGCCCGAATCACTAGGTGAAATTCCCAACAATCACCTTTAACCCAAAGCCAACAACATCTAATTCATCTTAGCCACCAATCTTCAAACTAAAATTTAAATTCAATATTTAGAATAAGTACAAATATATTAAGTAATCGATTAAATTATTTGTAAGCGCAATAAGACCCATGTTGCCGAGGATTTTGTTGTCTATATATATAAAAAAAAATATTAAATAGGAATGATATGTAGGATGATGATTTTTTAACTAGGACAACATTTTAATTTATTCATGAAATGAAAATTATGTAAAATATAGATGCGGTTACTGTAATAATCGTATTTGTATGTAAGCATTAAGTACCAGTAATAGGTGGCGTCACGTACTGTCTGTAAAATACACATTTTTTTAGTACATTACTATATTGTCCTATATCTTTAGTGCTGCAGTACTACGATGAGTACTTCATAATACGTAAACAAGTACCTATGTCATATCATGCAGCCTATCTAAATTAGACCTTAAATTATTATATTATTATATTAAGAGATAGTTTTGTCTTTTGGGTTTATTTTTGATACATTCGTCGTGGATACCTAGGTGTAGGTGCTAAATGCTCGTACGACCGTACGTTATTATAATATGGTCATAATATTTTAAATACTTTTTTGTTTATTTAAACCTGCGTTCTGGCGTTCTAATTGCAACGTGATATCTATTTGATGTGTTTAAACGTGCGTATGTACTACATAATGTTTATAGTATGTGCTAATGCCGAGTATACGTGTATGGTGTATTACGCGATGTCATATAGATTAGGTAGCTAACCTCCCGTTTGTCCGGTTGTGAATGTTGATATCGTATATTCGTATCTAATAGTGTTAAATATTAGGTAATAAAAAAATAACTTAATATTCTCGCGTCATTCAACATTATATTAAAAACGTATCAGTAATATCGTCGAGTTACTAACGTTATTATTATACAATTGTGTTCGTCCTACCGCAATGTCTCGGACGTCGTCGTTTTTGCGCGTGACGGGGACCGGGGGACGAATGAATAGAATGGAATATACGCGATCACAATATTTTGTTGGATGGATTTCGTGCGGAGACCTAGTACCGTACCGTCCAGTCCATCCATGCCCGTATGGCATAATAATATAAACGGTCCAATAATTGCCAAATGACATCATTCGTCATGATGACGATGATAATGATGATATTGTATTGTACTTATGTATTACCATTTACCATACATGGTGGAGGGAAAAGCGATTTGTTACTTTAGCTAGCCGCACGGCCAAGAATATTTTAACACACGTGTATTAATATTGAATAATACTGATTCATTTAAGGTGTTCGTTGAAACAAAACTATTATAATATGTTATTATGCGCGCTGTTATTGTTAAGCATAGGTACACAGTAAACCTCGAACAGTAGTGACTATAGTGATACATGTTGTATATTATAACAGTTATCTACCTAYCTCTTCGGTTAATATTTTATTTCGGGTTTTATTTTTATTTTTTTTTATCATCGTTCATAAAAAAATAGCATTACAATTTAAACACCAACAATAAAAAAATAATCTCGAATGAAAAAACTCACGTAAACCACCTCTTAATAACTGTAAGATGTGTGGTTAAATTTTTTAAATGATTAAAAATTAAAAATTAATAATTTCACTTTGAACAAAACAGGTGACATCTAAAATATATATTTCCCTTACTAAAACATTGTATTTAAATTTAATATGTTTATAAAATTTATCATTATAAGTGGTTACTGGTTATTAATTGCATAATTATTTATCCATTGTTGTATACATGTGTGGTATGTTTTTTGGAAAGAATTAATTTTATAATGATGTAACTATTAATGACTTCTATCAGTTTCAAGTACCCCGAATCATATGTTATTTAGATAATGATTTAATTAAAATTATTATTGTGTCTAGGTAAACATCAGTAACAATGTCACATCACAGTGATGACAATATGTTAATAGCAAGCAGTGATTCGTTTTGGGAACCTGGCAATCACAAACGCACCACTAAACGTATCGAAGATGGCTATAGATTATGTAATGATCTTATTACTCTCATACAAGAACGATCAGATATTGAAAAAGCATATTCCAAGAGCTTAAAAGGATGGTCCAAGAAATGGAATGAAATTATTGAAAAAGGTCCAGAATATGGAACGACAGAAGCAGCTTGGAAGGGTGTACTAGTTGAAGCGGATAGACTATGTGATTTGCACATAAGAGTGAAAGATGACTTGTGTAACGATATAATGCAACAAGTGAAGACGTGGCAAAAAGACAATTATCATAAGGTATGCACTTCAATATATTTTTATCTATTATACTCATTATGTAGTTTTTCTATTTGATGATATTAGTAATATTGATTTAAGAGGATAGCTGTACTTTTTTTTTCTCTTGCCCACGCACAACATTCTAACTTAACGATCACAATAATAACTATAATCATAATAATTTTTAATATTTAAATGAAATATCCTTTTGTAGGTAATATTATTATCTAGGGATTCTATGTATTTTATTATATTTTAATTTTAAAGCAAGTTATGAGTATCTTAAGGTGAACAAACAATTTTAAATTTTAAAATGTTCATGATTTGCTTCAAAATTTAAATGTAATAAAAACCTATAAGATTCCTTATGATAATAATCTTACTTTTAAGTATTACAAGAAGTAATTTCACTATAATATAAGAAATTATTATGATTATAATCATTATCCTGAACGTATAAATTTGGGATGTTGCCCGTGGGTCATAGAGAGAAAAAAATATGATGACATAATGACATCCTTTTAATACAAAAATATGATTGTAGTTTTAATGTGCTTTTATTAATACTTATATTGTTTGCATCAGACTGTTTTACACATAAAAGAACGAAAAGAAATGGAAGAATCATTTAAAAAAGCTCAAAAACCTTGGTGTAAACTATTGACTAAGGTTAACAAAACAAAAAATGAGTACCATATTGCATGTAAGGCAGAGAAATCAGCATCAAATCAAGAACGAAATGCATCTGCTGACAGTTCCTTATCTATGGATCAAGTAAAAATATAACATATAACTATTAATAGTGCATTACTTGATTAGTTATTGTATTTAATTAAAACTTAAAACCTTCCCTAATAATTGATTAGGTTAAAAAAATGCAAGATCGCGTAGCCAAATCGAAAGAAGAAGTTCAGAAAGCCAAAGAAAAGTATGAAATGGCTCTACAAGAACTAAATGCATACAATCCAAAATACATGGAAGATATGACAGTTGTATTTGACCGATGCCAAGAAACGGAAGCTAGAAGATTACAGTTTTTTAAAGACACTCTGTTTACAATACATAAGTGTTTAAATATTTCTCAAGATCCTGTGTAAGATTTTAAAAGTGTATTTATTTTTATTGAAAACCTAGTAAATTTGTTTTTATTTATTAGATTGCCTCAAATTTATGAAGAGTTTTATCATACTATCAATAATGCCGATCATGAGAAAGATTTACGGTGGTGGTCAAATAATCACGGTGTCAATATGGCCATGAACTGGCCCTTATTTGAGGTTTGTAAATTATTTATATAATAATTAGTATTATTGTTTCGTTATTTTAACCGTAGAAAGCCATTTTGTGATTTATTTACTAGATGTGTATACAATTTCTTTTTTTGGTTTTGGCTTGATTAAATTTTTAATAATAATTGTAGTTAAGTCAAAAAACTAATTTGTGTGCATGTGTGTTGTCGTGTTATTCTTCTATAGGATTATATAGAAGAATTCCGGGATATATCCAAGGGAAAAACCAAAGAATCTATACCTGCTGGAACAATAACATTAATCAATCAACGAGCAGTTGGCGAAGATTTGCATGTAAATGTTAGTGTGCATTTTTTATATTTTTAGTTAACTTCTTAGTTCTTACATGTTAGTTAGAAAAGTCGTTATTAGTATATGAGACTATCTTATAGCATTTAAATCTTTGTTTAGATTATTAACTCATTTAGTTATTTTTTCTTAATATTTAATTTATTCACATTTTTATTTTTTATGACATTTTTAGGATTTGCATACAACTCATCCAAAGATAAATAGCAAAAAGCCAACTGTTCCATTGTCACGATCAAATGATAGTACTGACAACCATAAGCAATCAACAGAAAAATCAAATGGAACAAAATCGCATCCAATAACGTGAGTTACCAAAATAAAAAATAAATTTTAGTTCAGCTAAGCAATTATTATTCTTTATAAATGACACCTAAATGTCGTGTCATTTAGATTCCTAATGAAGGGGCCGTGCACCGGACCTTACATACCTGTGTTAATCGGTAAGATCGATTACACATGTTCCATATTCCCTTTGTATTTAGAAATTCCTTTAAATTTATAGTGTCATTAGATAAAATTGTAAAACCTAATATTTTATGTAATTGATACAATTCTATTTTTGTGTGATTAACACTGACAATATTCCTGATTATTCTTATTTATATTTGTTTTTTTATATATTGAATAGCAATGGAGCATCCAATAGCCAAACGCCAGATTCAAACCCATTTGAAGAGGAGGAATGGGATGAGGAAGAAGGAATTGGTCCCGATGGTGCGCTTGTGGACAACGGTGAGCCCGGTGTACCTGTAAAAGCACTTTATGATTATGAGGGTGCCGAAGCTGATGAACTCAGTTTTAAACAAGGTAAAAATTAATAATATTGATAACAATTTGAATTTTGAATATATAACTTCATCTAAATAAGTTAGTTATAATTAAAATTAAATTTTTATTTTAGGTGAGTTGTTTGAAAAATTAGAAGATGAAGATGAACAAGGCTGGTGCAAGGGACGTAAAGATGGTCGAGTTGGATTATATCCAGCTAATTATGTAGAATCAGTATCATAAATACATTGATTAGTTTAAAATATAAAATAGTATGTATAATATATTTAAAGAAGAAACAATAATGACGTATATCGACTATGTACTGTCTGTTCCTCTGCCAAAAAAAGATGTTGTGATCCAATTAATATTTTTGGAGTATTGGTTGTTTTATTTAAATTGTTTGTTAATTTATATTTATTTATTGAAAAAATAAAGCTTATTGTTATATTGAGGGAACAATTGGTAAATAGAAAGATATTTTTTTTCTTAATACTCCATTAATTTTATTGATAAATAATTTACTGGCATTATCTACTCTATCATATATATATATCAAAGAAATGTGTAGATAGTTTCGTATATATTTTAACAATATTTCATTAAATYAGTTATTAAATATTATTATTATTTTCACAAAGGAATGATYAACATATTGAGTGTCCAAGTACGCTCCAAATCATGATTTTATAGATAAAATCCAAATCTTAATCAATACAATGAATAACTTGGATATGACAAACAATTTTACTTGATACTTTTTAGTTTAACACATAAGGGACAATTAAACAATTAAACATTTTTAATTATTTTATTATTGAGCCAGATAAAACATTAGTTAATAATTAACTTGATTTTCATTTAAATTATTTACTTTCATTTTTTTTTATGTTACTAATTATAATACAATAGTATCTGATACTACAACAATGGTAAGCTATTGTTATTTTCTGAATGGAAATGCATTATTAGTAATAAATTGTTGTTAATTGTATTTTTTTTTTTAAAACATTTACTAATAATAAATAATACTTATTTATTATTATTATACAAATATTAATTTGCCATTAGATTGTAAAAAAAAAAATACTCTGTTAACTATTTAATATTTTTTTAGTTATGTTTTGTACATATAATATAATATTATTAGCATTGGTTCATGTATGATCTATTTAATTCTAATTGATTATATTTTGTTGCATGTATTCATTTTAAATTAATTAAAAGAAATACTAAAGATGATTTGAGTAAGTGTCAAGATCAAAGACAAAATGTAATAAAAATAAATATTGAAAAAACCTACTGACATTTTAAGTTTCATGATATTATTGAACATCACATTAACTGGCATTCGTGACTATGCTCCCAGCCAACAATAAACTATTGAAACTGCTTATTTTAGATAATCACACTCAAAATCCTTATTTCTATATTTATTAAGGKGAGGACTGAGGGCTTAAATCATAGACATGTCTTTGGTTTAAATACCCTCTCCTGGCTACTTTCACTATGTCAAATGATTTGTAATAACAATTATAGGTGTGTTGGTGTCATCAACTACCAATTCGTTTGACATTGATTACTCATCAATGATGAATAATTATTGTAATAAAGTGCATGTAACTGACTATTTAAAAATTATTGTTGAAGATTATTAAGATAACTTGATGTCCTGTTTTTGAAAATATTGTATACTGACATATAACTAAATAATAAATACCATTAATGGAGTGTTACATAAACAATAAAAAGTAAAAAYACATACATTTGAGAAATTACATAACTAAATGAAAATTATTAACTATGCACATATTTATTTGATTAAATATAGACACATTATATTTTATCTTTTGATAATGTTTCTATACACCATTAAACTCTTTAATTAATTTTAATATTATGTGTTATAGTTTTTTTTGGTTCATTGGTTTGAATATATTCTTATTAGCTTGATTAAATGACAGCTATACATTATTTTAAACTGTTATTCTACCCTTCTTAGAGAAAATACGTGTACACATTATTGATAATTCTATAATATTTACTAAAACCCATTAATTTTATAGGTATAAATTCATTAAACGATTGTCAACAGTTTTTAAGGGCACATCACTTGTAATATCCCGCACATGAATACAGTAGCATAAAAATCGGTTAAGCAAGGGGGCCAAATGCCAAGAGCCCAAAACTGATGAGGGTCCTAGCCTAATCAAAAATACCGGTTTTTTTTTTTTAATATTAGATTTCGCAACAAAATAATATTATTTTGGTATTTAAAATAAATTTCAACTTTAAATATTGAAGAGATTATATTTTGTTTATTTTTAAAAGTTCAAGAGGCCTCAGAAAATGTTATGCTACGGCCCCCAAAATCCTAGATACGCCACTGCGCAAATAATATAACAAATCTACGTACAGGATTCTTACTATAGTTTATTCATAGTTAATTGTGTTAATACTAGTGTCAAAAATGTACTTAAGTACATATTAATTATCATCAAGTATGTAAAGGAAAGATTAAATTGCCTGAGCGAAGAGTTTTATTCTATATATTTACAAGTTATATAAATTTGCAAAAGCCAAAAATGCTTATCTTATTTTAAATAAATATATAAAATTAAACTCTTTGCTCGGATACAGTCGATCTTCTCTATACCTTCAATAATAAGTAAATTTGTTTTAATATTAATAATAAATAAACTGTTGTAAAAATCTGTTTATGTTTAGAGAAGCCCAAAATACTCTTTGTGTGATCCACAAACTAATTGACTTTTTCTTAACTGTGTTAAATTTATTATTTTTTAACTATTACTTCTAACTTAATTGTCTTGTGTTCATTTAATAATTGTCTTCATAAACTTGCCAACTTTATGGGCATCCACAGTACATACGGTCATGATAATATTCTCTTAATTTTAAAAATTCATGATTACCATGGGAAGTATACTGGTACATTTGTCATGTGCACATATGACAAAAAATGTAACATACTAGATTATCTCCTAAAATTAAATCAGAAATTTCTGTTTTATTCCGTGGTCAAGGTAGATTGACTATGAACGAACAGTATTCAATATAAATTAATTGTTACTTTTTTCTTATTATCTGTCTGTAGTATAATTTAGATTCTGTAAAAGTTATGACCAAAATTGCATTACTATTATACACATATACCGCAAGTTAAGTCAAACAAATAATGAATTATAAATTATAATAATTATATTTTAAAACAGCACCAACAATTCAGTTGATATGCTTAAGTTTTGAGCTGACCAATACAGAGATACAGTGATAAATATTCAGAGTTATAATTAATAATACAGTTTTTTTTATACATCTTTGTATTTTATTGATTAAAGCATGTACCTACGTTTCACCAATAATTTTTAAAAATGTGTCAAAAAGCCTCAAATGAACAAACGTTCTCATTTGTACATAGATAACACGAGGACTATTATGTCAGGTACAACAATTATTAACAATTAAATACAATTGTATATTTGCCCCTACTTCTCTTGTATTGATGCTCTATTATAATAAATATTAAATAATAATACCATAATAATTTAATCAGTTCTAAATTTAAATTTTCTGATAAGTCAAGCTCATACAGAAATAAATTCAGAGGTAAAAATAATTATTTAAAATAAATTAACATTATTCTTTTACTTTTAAACCCAACCACCCAATGCATACCAAAGATAGATTTTAAATGATTTGGAAAAAAATTTAGAATTTAAGTGTGCATATATAAATATTTTAATGTCTTATTGATTAGGAGTGCTATCTATATGCATACAGCATACACATGATTCATGCAATGGTCTTGGTCAACTTATAGAACTATATTTTGATCAAAAAGTACACTAACATCTAATTTATCTACCTAATTATATTATTTTATTATCTAGACAACAGTACTAACTCATATAAAATGTTTAATGATTGCCCACCATTAAATATTTATTAAGATTATTTCAATACATATTTTAATTCATACTTTGCTACAATACATCTTTAAAACAACTAAGGTACAATGTTGCTAAATTGAACGTTTATATAATATAAAATCGTAAAACTATATTGGGATTTATTATTCTCACCTTGTAAACGAAGAGTGAAGAATTTCAATAAATTATCTTAACTAATACATTGTTCTTTTAATTTTACATTTTTAAATAGGTAAAATATTATTTAAAGCACTTGAACCCTGTCAATGTGAATAGTAGGTATATAATTTATATAGTAAATAATTACAAAACTTAAATGGATAAATTACATCGTAATTGAGCATTTACTACAAAACATTTAAATTGTAGTATGTAAAAAAAAATCACCATATACAACAACACATACCATAATAATTATACCGATAAAAAAAGATCAATAATTTAATAGTAACCCCTTAAACAATCTTTTTTTTTTTAATTTATAATAATGTATAAAATCAAATAACATAAATGCCCTAAAATGTGTTAGACTGACCAAAGGTAAAAATATGTTTCCTGCCATTGTTTCATGTATTCTAGGAAAGGTCGCATGAGTGGGCCAACCAACGGCACAGAGTTAACAAACCAGTGTAAGAATGAACGGATATGTTTTTCTGAATAGTTCTCAAAGAATGGTGATCTCACTATATACATGGCCAAATGTAGTGATCGTTTTGACAACACCAAACGTTGCTGAGGTGAAAGGTTTTTTAAAGATTTTAATCGCTGCAGACTGAAAACAAAAAAAAATACAATAAAATCATCATACTTAATGCAAATATTTGCAAGTATTGTTCAGTTTACACAATTATTACCTAATGTATTCAATTGTTATGGAAATCAACCAAGGCTTCCATGATTTCTCTCCGAATATGCACATACTGCCCAAGTGAACAATTGGTTTCATTATGTACATTGTCTGTAATAACAAATAGTGAAACGTTTAAAATGTTTACCTTCTTCGAGCAAAGGTTTTTAAGAATTTTTTTTTAAACTTAAGTTAACTTAATAGGTAGTTATTAGTTAATAGTTTATAAAAAAAACAATTGTGATATAATATGAAATAAACAATTTCGTGGTTGAATATAGAAAATATAAAATAGTAAAATTGAAGGATATGAAAATGAGTATTATTAGGTATTCGATACATGGCTTGAACTTTATTTAACTTAAAGTATGATTTCATTTGAATCATACATATTAATTTATTTGAGCGTTATCCTTCACTAAGCTGCACTAAAAATTTACCAACAATGTTTATTACCAATTCGGATATTATCTATTTTTGAAAATATCAAAAACAATTTTTTGTTAATCAATAACATTATTTGTTACATTTTATCAACTATTAAAAGTGTATGCTAATTGTGAATATTTTAAATAGAAATCTTCAAAAAAAAATTTCACATACTAAGTAGGTACTTGTATAATTATGAATATGAGCGTGTACAAAAATTATTTATGTGCGATTATTATAATTTTTTAATATTCACTTTTGTGTACCAAATTAATATTCATTATTCATACACACAAAATTAGTTTGAATGTTATTATTATTATTTCAGGTTTTTTATATTATTATATTGGTGTAGACTGTAGAATAATGGTTCATAATTATTTTATATTTAATCCCGTCAGGCGTCAGTGAAGTATTTATGATGGTTAATAGACTAATATGGACTAGTATTTCTAACAGTGGAAATATAATAATTTCAACAGATATAATATAATGATGTATTACAGCGGCTTCCAAACTTTTTGGGTGCTCTTATTGAACTAACATTTTCCAAAGGTGCACATCCTTCTTATCACAATATACTTTTTTAAATACATTTTTAATATTTTCAATTATTATTAGTTCATCGCACCTTATTTTGAGTCATAAATAAATTTTTTTATTTATTTTGTATAATTTTGCATGTTTTGGTTCATAATTTTCTATTCTTTTAATATATAAGTGTATGCATATTTCATGGTCTTTTTAGTGTATTAAAATCACAGTTCTAATACTAATTTTAACAAGACTCGCAGAGTATTGAAATAGGTAAAATTTTTAAAATTTGTACTAGATAAAAGCCTCTCTCCGATTTCTTACACCCTAGTACATCATCAATGACAGACAGTCATAATGAACATTGATGAATATATATATAATAATATAATAATATTATGTTCATCGAACCTCTGCCACAATGTGTATGTCACTCAGAGTTCTGCCTGGAATGCCGCCGCCGAGTATGTCTGCCCTTGGGGGGGCTTTCCACGTGCGCTGGTTCATCGGAGGGGCTAAAAACACAATTATAAAATGGTTAGGTAGGTACTAAGAATGAGAGAAATATAAATAATTTAATTTTACAAAGCTTATATTTTTGTATTACCATGGTCCATTTTGCGTATGGTTCGTCCTGACGGTAGCGTTATGACTCCGTTGAAAGCGTCGTTACAATTGAGGCCCACAGATTTCCGGTCCAAAGGCTGTATTGGGGGTGATTCGAGTATGTGGAGCTTGTGCACATGCAACAGGTAAAGACGCGCCATGCATCTGTAAAATTATTCGTCGTGAGATAAGCGTTAGTAAAACGTAGGTATTCAATTAAAAAATAATAATGTTTATTAGTTTATTACCTACTTTTTAGTAATTATTATATGTATTTATCATGCACAACACAATTTGCAAAGACAATATATATAATGTTCAGATGAAGTTCGTATTTATATATTATAAAAAAAAAAAAAAAATGGTTTAATTAGATATTCAGTTATGTAACTATTACTGTTTCATTTCAACATAATATTAAGCATTTGGATTTTGGGATATCCGTTTTTTTCTTGGTGCGAAATACGAGCTGAAATCCTCAAACCTGCTACTTGCCCACCAAGTATAGGGAGGGACACACGTCACACACTTAGGTACATTGAAAGTGAGAAAATCATTTCGAGTAGAGTGGGAGTATTTACGAGTTATAACAAATAAATAAATCACAAATTTAAAGTTATATAATATTATATCAGCTTTTCGTAAAACATTTTTTTTTTTTTTTTTTTGAGGAGGTGGATAATTCCAACAATTCCCTATAAAGTCTTGTAGCTTAGTGCTTTTGCGTGTACTCTATAATAAAATCAACAGCGAACGGGGATGAATATAATGATAAAGGATTAGCCGGTTAAGTTCRATCTCGATAGGAGAGCGGAATGATTTAAAAATAGTTTACTACAAACTACTGATGTTGTAACAAATACTAAATACCTACTATTAAACTGCATAGACAGAAATGGAGGAGGGCTTAGTCCCCCCAAAAATCCTACTAAGCCCTCCTACCACCCGAAAAAGTGCTTAATATTAAATTTGAATTTAATGTTGTAAAATTATCGTATAAGAAAAACAATTTTGAGCGAAGACATTTCGTCAGCCTATAACTTCTATAGTTCTATATTACTATGCATATAAAAATTACCGCAGATTTACGSTCATTTTTTTTTTWAAATTTCCAATTAAATATCTATTGAAACATTTTACACGCATTGCCCAATAACACACYACGAAATGCAAGCTAAATTACAATTATATAGGTATAAAGTACAAAGGCATTTACTAAATATTGGTTAAGTCAAATTTYAAACAACCGTCAAAATTTCTTTGTAAGTTAATTAAATATGCTAAGACATATTAATGTAATATGTATTATGTTTATATTGTATAGATAATATGTACATAAATTGAATAATAAGCTAGGCACGACGTGTTCACGAACGAATAATATTATCGAATAGGTAGATAACGTAAATACGAATAACTAAAAATACCAATAGTTACGATTTAGTACACAAACGGTCACCTACAATTGCCGACTGCCGAGCGAAATTAATAGAATGTTTGTACTTTGTAGGTAAGCCATGAACCGGATTTTCATATATAATTTGTTTTCTAACCAAAATAAGATATTGCGACAAAAATCAAATTATGTAATATAACCGCCCCCACGTGGCCACGTCACTTGTCAGATCACAGACCACAGTCTTAACAGTGTTGTTTTGAGAGTTGTTGAAAGCGGTAATATAGTATCTCATCGGGAACGCTCTGTACAGTGTACACAATACGCGCTGACAACGTTTTAGATAAGACGATAAAATATTTTAATCAACCGGTTACAAACTTGCTAACTAATAAGTTGCAATCAGAACAGTTTGGAAAACAATTATTAAATTAACACAGTGAATACTGAATTATGATTAATAGGCGTTTTAGGCAAGTTATCGAATTAAAATAGGAGGTGATCATGTGGTAATAAACTACTACATATTCATTCATTGTTTTAATAAACTAAAACAAAAAATTGGTGAACTACAAACGTTTAACTTTAATCTGTACAGGCCATTAAAATCTTAAGCAAATTGAACGTTGATCAAACTACACATAACGCAGTGAAAACCAACAGTAATCGGTCACGATTTGGTAGAATAAAAACCATACAGCCTACAACAAACACTAAAAATGTCATCTTTTATTAAATGGTACAGATTTTACAGCCACACGTATCCAATACGCACCAATCTTGTTCAAACAGGTATGTAACCAATCTAGAACTGTATATAAATATAATTTTTATAGTCTTTATATATTTTAGGTGTATTGTTTGGTGCCGGTGATTTAATAGCTCAAAGTGTAGTAGAAAAGCGCAAACCTGATGAAATTGATTGGTTACGTACAGTTCGTTATACATCTATTGGGTGTGCGGTTGGACCTACACTTACTATGTGGTACAAAACTTTAGACAGATTAGGAACAAAAATCACGATACCAATAGTAGCTAGAAAAATATTAGTCGACCAATTGGTTGCATCGCCAATTATTAATGGATCTGTAATGATTATGAGTAGAGTGTTCAGTGGTGATGAATGGCCACAAATACAAAAGAAACTAGAAAACAACTATGTGAAAGTTATGTTCACTAGTTATTTGGTAAATACGTTAATTATAATTTTTTTTTAAATATTATCTAATATTAAATTCAACAATTTTTTTCATAGATTTGGCCAACTGTACAGACATTTAATTTCACCATTGTTCCACAACAATACAGGGTATTAACAGTACAGATAGTGTCATTAGCTTGGAATACATATCTTTCATATATAAGTGTCGGTGGTAAAAAATGAAAATAATCATATTTCAAATATATATTAATGCACCTAGGGGTGAATAATTTTGTTATTAAATTGAAATAACTAAGTTTATTTTATACATAATTTGTTATTTGGTTATAATATTATATACCTCGTTATATACTATGTATAGACTTTTTTAATATGAATTTAATAATAATATCTTTATATGGAAAACTTTGAACGTTGAAATTGTAATCTTATCATCTATGTTATTAATAAAATTGATTGATTCTTTAATATTTTTTGTGTACAAATTTAATAGCTGAGAAACATGAAATGATTTCAACAACATGGCTAGGAACTCAAAATCTACAGAAAACCTTAGCAATCATATACCTATAATTCATTTTAGACCTTATTTAACAATGTCGAGGAGGAGAATATAAAAGAAAGCTTAATAATTGAATAATTACTTWACGGTCTGCAAAAGTACAATAATAATCCATCGTCCTTTGGTGCCCCATAATTTTTTAGCAGATATTTCTACAAATACTTCAACATAATCCACCGTAGTAATGAAACGCTTGATATTTTCAGAACTAAATATTTTTTTCTTTTCTTTATCGTTGACAGTTACAGAGTTAGTTTTGGCAGTACTTAGGATAATTTGATCATTAAATAACATCATGAAGTTGGACATGGAATATATGAGCTCAGATAGTAATGTCGAGTTGTTGATTCGACCTGCAAATACGCGCTAATCTATAGTGAATAATTGGATTATATTATTTATGAATAAAAATACCAGCTAAAAAGTATGATATCCACTTTATTGAAGCTTCTAGATCTGTTGTTCGTTCAGGATGTGCACTGACCCAGTTCACGTAATGTTTATATAATACTCTTAACGTAGGTATAGATAAATTTTCCATTTTATTTTATTTTAGCKTTCGGTAGCCGATAATTGAGTCGAAAAATTTAATCAGCAAAAACGAAAGAATGTTCACAGTACGAATAATAGTGTATTGTACATTTTTTTGAATCTATTTGGTTGACGTTGATTATACATTACGTGCGTGAAGTTAGCAAACGTTCCAACSATTGATAAGAGAATTCTGATAAGGCTAATAGCTGATTGATACGATGGGTTGCCTATAGTGTGCACCTAATTCAAATTTAACGTTTCATTAAAATATATAACGAATTTCATTGTGTTGACAGTGTTGTGGAAATAATTTCATGTGTTTTAAAATAGTAAAATGTAATATTTTACTTAATTTATAGTGATTAAATTAAATTGAAAGTTTTTCATCGTTATGAAGCTATGGGTGACGCTCATCTGTTGACTGTTARGTTACAAATGGRTCACTGTAATGGATAGATTTAAATTTGAATTTATTATATATTATTTTTTACGAAAAACAATTCTGATCAGAGACTGTTTGTTTAGGATATTTTATATTATTGTATTTACTTATATGATTGTTATTATTACTGCTCTAGCCAATAAGTTGAATTAATTTGCTTGCATATTATCATATTTTAAAAGTTTCAAATAAAAGTGTCTAAATTCCCTGGAAAAAAAACTTTATTGCAATTGTGTGTTCCTAGACATTTCACAATCTTTCGATATAAGGTGTGGCACGATGGCCTTTTATATAAACYTAAGAAATTCCTWCCACCCACTTACTACCTACTCATMAAATCCTATYTAACAGATCGAAATTTTCAAGTTCRCTACAGTTCTGCTCTCTGACATAGCTTCTATAAATGCAGGCTTGCTTCAAGTCGGTACCTTATCTCCAATTCTTTATAATATCTTTGCTTCTGACCAACTTACTAACTCCAATACATTGATAGCTGACTGCGCTGATGATAAAGCGTTAATATCCATAAAAAAGATCCAATAATAACTTCAATAAACCTACAAACTCGCCTTAACGCTGTGRAAAAATGGTTCACAAAATGGCGGTTTAAAGTTAAACAGAATAAATCAGTTCCCACAACCTTTAACTTCAGACATCAGACACACTCCTTGTCCTGGTGTAGCTCTATACGGCCTTTCGATTCCCTACTCTCCAAAAATCAAATACCTCGGCCTTACTCTTGATGAAAGATTAACGTGGGCTCATCATATCAGAACTAAAAGATTAACTTGAAACATCGTATCCGCTTGCTTAAACCTTTATGCTATGCAATAATAAATACACCTCCACTAAAACTAAGCTTCTTATATACAAAACGCTATTAAAACCATTATGGACCAACGGCCTTCAACTGTGGGGCAGTGCGAAAAAGACAAATATCTCAAAAAGCCATACCTTTCAAAATATTGCACTTAAAATACTGATGAATGCTGAAATGCTCCACCGTACGTGTCAAATCATACACTACATACCGACTTAAAACACAAAACAATAAATGATGAAGCAAAAATCTTTTATAAAAGATTCCAATGCCATCTAAATAATCACCCAAATCGACTTATAAAAAACTTGTCCACTMCCACGATACATGGGATTCCTCGGAGACGTTTGAAGCRTAAGTGGTGTCGTGATCTTATAATTTAAATTAAATTAAATTATCAAATAAATCAAATTTATTATCAACCTAACAGAAAGTGTCAACGGGTGGCTCCTTTCATCAAAATCTCATGACCTGTCAACTTTTATCTAATATTCTTATCATGTCAAGTATAATTAAATAATACAGATTACTTATTTTTTGTAAAATAAAAAAAAAGTGTCTAGATACATAACTCAAAATAAATTGTATAATTTGTAGTTTTATCTGAATTTGAAGTAATTGAATTTAAAATGACGATACAAAGAAACTCTTTAATTTTTTTTAGATTTTTTGGTTAAAGAATGAACTACTATTGCGTGGAACCTTGCTAAAAAWTTTTATTCCTTATAGCCAGGGCTMGGGACTTATAGCACTTAAAATCATTAAAATAAGCGCTTGAAAAAGCTTAAAAACATGATTATAAGCACTCAAATAAGCATTTAAAAAACTTAATTTTTTGCAAAAATAATTATCAAAAAACAAAAAGCTAAAAAATYCTAGCTGAAAAATCAAAAAATAAATCTTTATCTTTATATTATAAAATAAATTAAACTTCACTTTCGAGACTTTATAAGGATTTTATGGATTTTCTGAAAAATGAAATGTAAACGATATTTATAATAGTTGAAAACATTATAAAAACGTAGAAATACTGATCGAATAAGCAAAAATAATCAGAAAAACTGGAAATATGCATTTTTTGAAAAATCGATGAAACAATCGAAAAAAGCACTTTCAAACTTCATAATTAAACGTATTATAACATGACATATACTTCCATAGCACTATGCAACATTTTAAGTCAATTCATAAAAATAAGCAAATGCTTTAAGTCCCGAGACTTGCTTATAGCTATAAAAGTTTATCGTTTTATAAATTCTTATGTACTGAACAATTTGTAAATATTGTCAAAATTTTAACTTTAAATGCTTAAAAAAAAATTCGTGCCTATGTATTTTTTATATTTTTACACTGATACTGTAACAATTTATCAGGGATCTTGTATTGAATTTTTATTGTGGTTTTTACATATTTTGTCAAATTCAGACGCTCATAAAAATTATTGTGGATTTAAACTCAACTTTTTTTTTTTATTTCACTGACAAAAACTTACGTGGAACCTTGGATTACATTTTAAAGTTTTTTGACCGAGCTAAAATGTTTTTATCGACATTAATTTAAAAAAAGCAAATAATTATCGGAAATTCCATATGCCTATAAATAGCTCAACATGAGCCATATTTTTTATGATATATAAATTACTAATATAAAGTGAAACTGCATCTATCAACAGTCATTTATTTTAGAGTTACACCAATGATCAAAATGAATTTAGTCAAACCGATTTTGAGTGAAAAGTACCGTTTTTTCTTATTTTTTTCCCCCCCGATGCTTTTGGAAACTACTGGGAATTTTAAACTTTGAAATCTGGAATGTACGAACTAGATTCACATTCCCATATGAAAAGATACAAATTGGAATCGAATTATTTCAACTAATAATTATCGTGTAAACAAACAGAAATAAAAAAAACCATATATTATCGTAGTCAAACCAATACATTAATCGCTCTGCTCAAATTCTAAAATGACAGTTTTTTTTTTTCAAAATACATAATCCTTAAAAAAAAATTAGGGATACAGGAATTTTTATATATAATCACTAATCAGTTTTCAATAACACTGAACTATAAACTATAATAACAATA